TTGACAACCAAGAACAGCCATCACAACTTCTGGCAGCTCATTCTTCAGACAGACACAGGCAGCATCTGCACCTTCCAGAATGGGATGTAGATGGTATTCTAAGGTGTAAAACCATTTCCTGGCATGGCTGCCCCTTGGCCGTGGCCCTTCCAGACAAGCTCAGTGGCTACAGTCTGTGCATTCTGGGTTAAGCTCTAGGCCCCACTCCAGTCAAGGGGAGAGTCTGCGATGACCAGAAGGATCTGTCTCTTCCCATCCCTCAGGGGAAACTGAACAGTTGGAATGCCTGCCAACCCTACTTCCATCACTCCATGCCTGGACATTCCCATGCCCTCCTGATGGCTGGCTCGTTCCCTCAGGCCTGACTTCTCCTGAAGCCTGAGGTGCCCTCCTAAGTGTGTGGCATCAGTTCCAGCCTGGTTTTAAAGACAGGCTTGAGGGCCACCCCTACCCAATCCCGCCACCCAGGCAAAAGCCACCTGCTGCCATACTGACCAAGCTGGAGAGCCTGTCTGCACTAAAAACATGAGATCAGATGAGCCGACGATGGCCCTTGCTGCTGGCTTGTGCTCCAGGCCTGGAAATGAAGCCAGCCCCCGTGTGCTAACAACAGAGGATAAACAACAGCAAGCAACACCCAGTTCTGGGTAACTCTGGGCTGGCACTTAAAGCAGGAGCCAGAACCTGTAGGCCACACCCCAGAATCTGTAGCTACCTGCCCTCAGCCCATGGCACCTGCTGCTTCCCTAGCTTTCCCATCATCTCCAAGCCCTATATCATCCAATCCACCGCCAGGCCTGTGAGGGATCTTCTGGCAACACTGGTTCCTTCATTAAAGTATATTAAAATAGGTGGTTATGGCGGTACACTCCTGTAGTGCCTGCTACCCAGGTCTGAGTCCAGGGGCTTCAGAGCAGGCCAACACATTAGCCTTTGTTTCAAGAAAGAGATGGGATAGCTTTCCTAACATCTTACCAGAGAGCCCCTACTCTGGCCCTTACTATAAAGCTGCTATCTCAGGTCCTCCTCCCCCTCCCCCTTTTTGCACTGTGCTTAGAACATATGTTCCTACCTCCCAGACAGAACATAGCGCGCATGCGCCTGCACACACACACACACACACACACACACACACACACACACACACACACACAGTGTGTGGCAGAGGACAGAAGGAAAGATGAACATGGCCCTTTCACTCTGATTATCCAGTAGACACAACTCCTTCCAAAACTATCATATCATCTCTCTAGAGTCTACTGAGCAAAGGAGGGAAGGCCCCAGAATGTCATGAAAGGGAACAGGGTTAGGCTAGGCTAGGAGGAAGTACTCCAGTAGGCACCAGTCAGAACCAGCCAAAGGATGAAGTGAGAGCCAGAGGCTGTTATGGGCAGAGACTCAGCTCCCTTCCCACGACCACCAGCTTCCACCCAGCTCTGCAATATATATCCCCGGCACAGGCCACTTCAAAAGGCTCCCTGCATGGGAGTCCCCATCACGGGAGAAAGCAGGATCTGTCTGTCTGTGGACACCCCTCACTCGGAGGACGAAGGGCACAGCCTAATGTAAGCAGTCTGCTCTTTTTGAAATGAGCACAGGATGGTTTAGGCTTCCTTTTTCATGCTTTGTGTTAGTGAAAATCAAGGCTAGTCCCCGGAGCCAGGGCTACTAGAGCTGACACCATCAGAGCCACCGCCAATCAAGTCTAAGTCAGCTTTGCCCAGGTAAGAAATGTGCTGACCTAAGCACTGTGCTCACTCCCTGGGCTTCACCTGCTTGGCTTCCTGGGGTGGGGGGAGAGGAAAGGAAGGGGAGGGGGGAGGAGTGGAGGGGGGAGTGAGAGACCACCTCCTAAACAGGATATTTTAAAGAAAAGATTTGGTTTACTTTATTTCCTATTTCTAAGTGTGTGTGTGCCCAACTGTAGGTACCTAAGGAAGCCAGAAGAGGGTGTGGTGTTGAATCCCCTGGAGCTAGAAGTGTGGGTAGCTGTAAGCCAACCTGATGTGGGTTGATGGGAACTGAACCTTTCCTCTGGAAAGGCAGTATGTGATCATGTGATCTTAATCCATTACCACCTCTTTTTTTTTTTTTTTTTTTTTTTTTTTTGAGACAGGGTCTCCCACCGTAGCTCAGGCTGGCTTAAGACTGGGACTTACTATGTAACCCCAAGTGGCTCCTGAATGCTGAGACTGCACTGCTGGACCACACCTGGCTCCTCAGCAGGGCACTTCTGTCTTGATGGGCATCGGTAGCTCCATGGCCCCAAGGAGGATCTCAAAACCAAAGCAGCATTTGGAGTCACTCAGACCCAGCCCATGTCAAACAAGAGGAGAGGAGTTTCAAAGCCTTGGTATTTGGAGGGTTCTCGATCTTTTTGTGTTAATGCTGGAGGCCTTTATACACCCTACCCCACAGACTGGGTCCTGTAATCTGCATTTCTCTTTGAACAAGGGTCTTGCTGGAGCCCAAATGAACCTTGAACCCCTGGACTCCAGCAATCCCCCTGCCTCAGACTTCCTGAGTAGCTGGAACTACAGCCATGTTGCTGTAGAGTTCAGCTCAAAGGAATCTACATTTCTACTTTGTTTTTGTTTGTTTGTTTTTCAAGACAGGGTTTCTCTGTATAGCTTTGGAGGCTGTCCTGGAACTAGCTCTGTAGACCAGACTGGCCTTGAACTCACAGAGATCCACCTGCCTCTGCCTCCCGAGCGCTGGGACGAAAGGTGTGCACCTCCAACGCCTGGCCAAAGGAATCTTCATTTTAACCTGTTCCCATAGGGCTGTGCTTTGAGGGCTGAGGGCAGGAGGCCCACACCACACATATCACCTCTCAGGAGGCTCAAGGAAGGATGAGAACCAGGCATATGTCTCAACCTACCACAATGCAAGCTGGCATCATGGCAGGTCAGAGGCAGTCAAATCTGTGTGGGTGTGAAGTGGATTACTGCTGCGCACATTCCAGACCCGAGGACAGGCCTGTGGGTGGAAATGGTGTACATTTGACTCCACACTCCCGCTCTCCCTCCCTTCAACTGGCCCCTCACCCTTAGCAAATGCAAAGGAGAAGTAAAGGGCCAGTGATTCACATCTGTTTCCCCTTAAAACACCCACACCCATTTTCTTCAAGACCCACCCAGCACAACCCAGGGCAAGAACTAACAGATTTAAACATTTATGGAACTTCCTGCTCTGGTCATGTGGCACAGAGATACTTGGAGTGGGTCCTGGATGAGCTGCCATGAATTTGGGGCTCTGCCAGGGGCAAGCCCAAAGGGCTTTCCCTGGACAAGAATCTCAAGATGGGGGTATGTGACTGCTCTGCTCAATGGGGCGGGGAGTTCAAAAGGCCTTCAAGTACTCACTATGGGAGGCAAGAGACAAGAACGGAGAGGAGGAGAATGCTGTGTAGTTCCAGGCTCAGAAATCTCTGGGCTGCAGTACACCGATAGGATGTATGAAATCTCCTAGTCAGATGCCAAGGGCAGTGAATGTAGAAACACACACATACACACACAATCAATCAGGGGTTTCTTGTTCCATCTGGGACCCAAGACACTACCCACAGGGACCAGGCTCATCATATCTGCCTATTACAAGGGCTTGTGGGAGCCAGCTGATCAATTCCCCAAACACATTTCTCTTACAAACCCTGGGTCACTGTGCACAGGACCTCTCCTCTAGAAACAGTGAGAGGGCCTTCTCCACATCTCTCAAAGACTGGTACCACACACAGCCCTGTGAGACGAGTAAATGGTTCGGTGAACACACAGTGCCTGCGCTGAGTTTGAGTCATGGTTCTGCCACTCATCCCACGGGCAGCGCCCTGAACCAGACCCTCATCTCCCTGGGCCACCACCCTTCACCTACAGGAGGAGGCAGGGGACTGGCAGCACCTGTCCTCTGGACAGTGTATGTGCATTTAATTGGAGTCGCCTCGAATACAGTGGGAAATCAGTGGGTTCTTCCATTCCTCTTCCCGCTCTTGTGACTCAGTTTCCCCATCTCAGATCCAAATCTAAAAAGATCCAAAGCTCACCTCAGAAATGCCAAGCACCTAGGCACTAACAGGCATCGACAAACAACTTTAAATTTATTAGCTACAACTGGGAGCTGCGTCCCCTGCTTACTGGCTCCCTACCCTGAATCCTGTTTTCTCAGTGTGGAAAAAGGGGCCACAGTCACCAGCTTTCTGGGACTCTTCGGGCTGCTGGGCACTGCAGCGGTATACAAATAAGGTTACACAATGGACCAGGGACTCTAAGGCTGCTTGTCAATGTTCAGTGAACCAGTAAGCACAGTAGCTCTTTAAAATGTCTGGGAGTAATCTAAGTCACCACAGAGCTAGTACAGACTAGTGCTCCTAGAGTTCCCCACCAGAGTTAAGCGACACTTTTTCCTTAGATTTGCCTAGCCACCTCATTTCATAGTAGCCACATTCTAAAGCTGAGTCGTTAGTACTGTGTCCCTTATAACAGTACCCATTCCCAGAGTCCAAAGCCGCTTTGCTCTTAGTTGAAGCTTCTCCCGGTCCATTACGCACAGGACTGCGTCTGGAGCTGCTTTGATCCCGGTGCCCGGCTTCGGGCAGCAGCTCTGTTTCTCCAGAGGGCTGCGAAGATGCATCTTTCACCAAAAGGGTGGAGATGCAATCACTAAGCCTTCCCTAGCTCGAGCTTCCTGAATCCACTAGGAGTACTTTGCTGGGCTCATACTTCCCAGACCCTAAGGCTGTTGTTATTTAGATCCCCTAAGCTGGGAGCGACTGGAGCATCCTTGACACCCAAGAGGAACCCGGCTGGTGGCCTTTTTTGCTACTGTCCCAGGAAGATCTTAACAACTCGCAGGGAAACAAGAGGTGGCTGGCATCCTCCACGCCAGAACCTCCGAGTGCCTAGAGTACACCTAATCTGGCCCATCTGAGGTCCCAGTAGGTAGAACCCTGTGCCTGGAGAGGGCGCGCCTCTGCAGAACTCTAAATCAGGAAAGATTCGCCTCACCTGAGCGGAACGCGAATAGCCAGATACCGGTCGACAGCCACGGCCAAGAGGCTGAAGATGGAGCTCTGCGTGAGCACCAGCACGAAGCAGGCAAGGAAGAGGCAGCTGTGGAAGTCGGTGCAGAAGCCCAGGCTGATGGTGATGGCGAAGGGGATGGCGAAGAGTCCCACGGCCACGTCGGCGGCCGCCAGTGACACCAGGAAGTAGTTGGTGGGGGTCTGCAACGAACTCGAGGCGCCCACGGCGGCGCACACCAGCACGTTGCCTGCCACCGCCAGAGTGGCGATGACCAGCTCCAGTGCCACGTACAGCGCGTCCTGCGTCTCCAGCTGCATGGCCGGGCCACCCGGGCCCGGGGCGTCGTCTACAGGGGTAGCACCGGTCTCGGGAGAGTCACCAGGGTGCCCCTAGGCATGACCACAGCGCCTAGACCTTGCGATCCGGGCTGGGTCTGCGCCTCCCAGCCGGTGCGCTCGGGACGGGGGCGTGGCCTGTGCCGGGGAGGCCTCCATTGGCCGCCTGCCAGAAGCCCGCCTTGGTTCCTCCCTTCTCCCGGGGTCCTGCTCTAGCTGCTCAGGAGCTTCGGGAGGAATGAATTTCCAGCATTTCCCTTGGGCACGGGGGTCACCACCTGGGAAAGACACTTTGAAGCTTCACCACCTCGGCCCGGGCGCGAGGTCTTAGCCTTCCTTCACCCGGTCCCATGCCCGAAGTGCGCACCCTGGGCTCACTCCCCTACGGGGTGTGCAGACCCCGAGATACCTGTTCCCAGGTCCGTGCCAGAGCTTCCTCTCAGATCTGCACTCCCCGCGCAGCCCCTAAACCACCCGGAGGCCACCTCTGCCTACCGGGGGTGCTCGCGGGCTCCTTGCAAACTCACTTGCTCTGCCACCCTTTTCCAGACTCCCTCCCTCTCCCACACTCCTAGGAAGCGTACTGGGTGCCCACACCTGCGAGTGACTGCAAGAAGCCCTCGGGGTTCTCCGTCGCCTGCTCCCGGTACCTCGCTCCGGGAGGGCCCTGGCTGCTTGCTCCTCTGCTTCTGGAGTCAATCCTAGAACACTGAGGGCTGTGCCTTTTGCTCTTGCGGAAGCCCCTACCTGTAGTCACCAGCAAGGATGGTTAAGGAGATTTTCAGTACGACAAAGATGACTGAAAACACTGCTATGCCACACCAAACATGGGTGACTGCCAAACAGCTTCTTTGGGTGGGTGGGTGGGAGAATGGATTTTTTAATGTTTAGGTTAAATTCGCTTTCTTTCTGTATGTGTGTGTGGGGGGGGTGGGAGTTATGCATCAGGGTTTCTATTACTATGATGAAATACCATGGCCAAAAAGCAAGTTGGGGAAAAGAGGGTTTATTTGGTTTACACTTCATCATTCCTGTTCATCACTGAAAGAAGAAAGGAGAGGAACTCAAACGACAGGAGACAGGAGCTGATGCAGAGACTTACTGGCTTGATTCCCCTGGTCTGCTGAGCCCACCTTCTTTTTATTTTATTTTATTTTACTTATTTATTTATTTATTTTTATTTTACATGTCGATCCCAGTTCCCTCTCCCTCCCTCCCTCTTACCCTCTCTCCCCCCTCACATGCACCCTGACCACTCTCCCCTCCCATCCCCCCACCCCAATTCCACATGTAGGGCAATGAATGAAGCCCTCATCTAGTACCTGTTGGAAACAGAAGCAAACACCCATAACTAAACACTGAGTTGAACTAGAATCCAGATGCAGAGGGAGAGGACAAGACCAGGTTGCAGAAACACATAGAGACAGCTGACCTGAAAAAGGAGCCCACCTTCTTATAGAACCCAGGACCACCTGCCCAGGGATGGCATCACCCACCATGGGCTGGGCCCTCCCTCAATGATCACTAAATGAGAAAATGTCTTACAGCTGGATCTCATGGAGGCATTTTCTCAACTGAGGTTCCTTCCTATCTGATGACTCTAGCTTGTGTCAACTTGACACACAAATCAGCCAGTACAACATGGCTGGACTGCATGATCTATAAATTGCATTTCAGGATTAGCTATAATAGTAACTACAAATCCCTCAAGGGCCCACACATATGGACAGCATTGTCTACCAGGGTTCTAATAAAGATGAGAAAGTCACCAAAGACCATAGAGTACACATTCTAACTGGTTATTTTAACGATTTTTTCTTTCTATTTTCCATGTTGAGAAAAACCTTATTTAAAAAAAATACCGTATATATTTGTATATGTTTTCTACAAAATATTGGCTAATCCACAGGTCCTATGCCCTGGTCATCTGAGTTTTGATAGCATCTGCTCCACCTTCATGTAGAACCGGACATTGGCTTCTGCCTCTGGACACAGATGACAAGCTGGGATCTCAGAGAAGTCAGATAATTGGTACCCTGCTTGAGATGGCAGGAAAGAGAGCCCGGAGTGGTGGCTTTTGCATAGTGGGCTTTTGGCAGTATGGGGGAGGGAGTCAAATGGGGCAGAGATGGGGGAAGGGCAGCCAAGTCCAGGAGGGGATTTTATCTTGAGAGGAATGGAATTTTGTAAGAGACCCTGTCTCAAAATAAAGTGGAGAGTGGCGGAAAAGCGCCAGCATCAATCTGTGGAGTCAATAAAATCTGTCTTCTTTTTTTATATTTTTATTTTGAGAGAGGGTCTATGCAACCTAGGCTAGCCCAAAACTTACTATGTAGCCGAGGAGGACCTTGAACTCCTGACCCCCTGACTCTCTGCATGGGAATATGCCACTACAGTGAACTGGACTTCCTTTCAAGACACTAAGTGGCTTCTTTGAAGAAACTGACAAATGAATCCTGAAATGCTTATGTAAATATAAGGGACTGAGAGCAGCCAAAATAGTCCTGTTAAAAAATAAAAAAGAAGAAAGAAAACCCAGGGGACCAGGGAGATGGCTCAGCAGGTACACAGCCTGATGAGCTAAATTCAAATCCAGAATCTATGTAAAGATGGAAAGAAAGAACTGATTCCACAGAGTTGTCTTGTGAATTCCACATGCACAATATGGCATGTCCCAAATAACACACACACACACCACCACCACCACCACCACCACCACCAACAACAACAACAACAACCTACAAAATAGGTTGTTCTCTCCAGATCACACATCCCCTGCAGATAGCTCAATGCTATCACCACGGAGAACAAGAGTTGTGTTGGCGCCACCTGAGGTTCCAGGCAGTCATCTCCCCTTCTTGGCTGAATCACACTTGGCCTAAACCAATCTGACAACCCCTTTCTCTTTGCCAGTGTTTGGTCCTACTCATTCTGCCTGTGGGATCTAAGGAGAATTGTGCAGCAAGATTTGGGCTCTCTCCATTCTGGACACTGCTGTGTGAAAAATGTAGCACCAAGTGCTATGTGGCAGCTACCTCACAACCATGTGAGTATAAGGACAGGACACCATTCCGAGTTTAAGGAAAGATGAAGGATCAGTCTTTGGCTTTGAAAATCACAGCTTACCTCAGAAACCCCCTGGATTTGTTTTTCAGCAGCACTGCAAGTGTCCTGTAGAGTGAGCAACTATCCACCCACGTTTCCCAGGACTAGAAGAGCATTAGGGATTCAGGGCTGGAACATCCCGGGCTAGAATCTTGGGTCTCGCCTTGTCCATTTGGACAGAATGTTATGGAAGAAAGCAATGGTTGTGCCGGGGCTCAGAAGGGACTTCCCAATCAGGGTCACTCCCACCAACCATGCCTTGTCTGTCTCCCTTCCGAGCAGAAATAAGATTCTGCAGAAATTCCTAACCCTGAGTTATCTGCCAAGAGAGGAACTTCTGACTCAGACCCCATTAACCAGAGATGACTATGTTTAGATAGTGGTGAAGCAGACTGAATGGCCACACAAAAACTATTGTCACTCAGTCCTGCCTCTGCTTTGGTCCCATCTCTGTTATCTGCTTTACTAATAAGATTCTCAGACACAATATAGGCTGATGGATGCTTATTTGGGTTGAAATCACTTACACCAGAAACAGATGACCGCCATGGGTTCTGGCTCCAAGGATGCCCCTGGATGCTCTCTGTCTCTGACCAGGAAGTAAGAGCGAGCTGGGGTCCAGGACCCCAGACCTGTCACCAATCCCCAATGGGTGTGGTCAGTGCAACAGGTGCGGGCAGGGTGGATATCTTACTACAAACCAGGTTTGTTCCAAGTCACCGTAACTTCTTCAAGTCCCTCCAGTTTCCCTAAAACGTATGAGAATGAACATTTATTCAGTTCTCCTAAAAGTTAGGTGCATTCTGGCTGAGTATGGTAGCACACACCTTTGATTCCAGCACTCAGGAGCAGAGGCAGGCCCTTGTCTATAGAGTGAGTTCCAGGACAGCCAGGGCTACACTGTGAGGTTCTGTCTGAAAAAAAAAAAAAAAAAAAAAAAAAAAGTCACGTATATTTTACATTCATGTCCTTTGTCATAAAGAATGCGTGTTGTAAATCACCCTGACCAGGCAGCCTAGCAGAATCACACCATATGATTGATGGCCTCTAGTGAGGACAGGAAATAAATTTGTGTTAATCCACCCCCATCCCCAATCTGCATTTGCAATTCCTCCCAGTGACCCTTCTGAGGGTAGCCAGTTGGGCCTATAGCCTGGCCCCCACAGCAGGGACGACTCCCCCCTGGCTGTCCTGTCAGCTCTTTCCTCATTCCTGAAACAGTCTCCTCTGACATCTCTGGCTTGTCCAGCTTCCTGTGTGACAGAATCCAGAACAGAACACCCCACAGCTGTGACAGCTGCAGAGAGCCCCACAGAACCCACCAGTACCAGCCCCTGCCATCAGACAGCCTGATGAGTGGCTCTGCTCTGCTCTGGCTCTGCTCTTGTCTGGCATCTTGGGTAATAGCTTGGCTTCTACAGAAGATGCAAAATCATCTAAGCATGACCAGGAGACATGGATATAAAATGTTAGGCTAGGTACAGCGGTTCATGGTTATTTTCCTTGCTATTCAGGAGGCTAAGGTGGGAGGCTTAATTGAGCCAGGAGTTCAGAGCCAGCATGGGCAACATCTTCCTCTTAAAACAAACAAACAAACAAAAAACCCTGGTGGTAAGACTGGAGTTACAGAGAAATGGGTTAGATGCCCGGGCTGCCTGCCTAGGCCAAGTCTACTATCCTATTATAAATGTTTGTATGTTGCAAAAATGATATCTGGTCATGATACCTCTTTAAACTCACAGTAATGTGTAAGAGAGTAAAGATGACTCTTGGGACCACCCAACCCACCCACACTCTGGTCATGATATGATTATTGTTCCAGAGTTTCTGTCCGCACAAAGCTAACAAGCATTGCAGAATCAGGATCCATGTGTAAGTTACCCTGTTAAGACACACACCCTAGGACTGAGGGAGTATAACTGCATCTGCACACAGGAATAAT